GTTTTGGTTTCGCTATTACTACTTTGATGAAAACTGAGGGAGAGGGATCTTTTTAAGGAGGTCTTCGCTCGGAGAAACAGACAAGACAATGTTCTAGCAGTAACAGGGAAAGGCATGGAAATAATATTAGAGAATTATGTAAAGAAAAGAAAGGGAGATGGGATGGCTTGCCAGGTACAAGGAAGGAAAAAATGACTCTGGTTATCAAAGTGTCTTTACTCCCTCTGCAGCTCCAGACATGTTACAGGGACCTGTTTAAGTTGAAAAAGGAGCTCATCCTTGAGATGGGGCCCCGTAGAGATTTGAGTTTGTGTTGCTTTCAAAAAGACACCGGACCGAACTATGGCAGACCTGATAACAGTCTCTCTATGGTAACTAGGCAGCTAGCTCCATCTGTAGAATACAATTTATGGGTGTGCCCAGGCCAATTAATCTATGAGTTCGTGTCTTCATTCTCAATTCTAAGTAATTTTATGAATGTATCTTATTTTGATAAATTAAAAAATATAAATGCAATTAATTGTTTTTATCTCGTAAAAAATCAATTAAAATAGTCAATAAAGGCTAGAATCGACGTTGAAAGTATGCTTAAAGGATCTGTATTGAAAAGTTGTCTAATTTCGATTAATAATTTCACAAATATTGATTTAAAAGCATCATTATTCTCTACTTGATTGTTAAATTCTTTCACTCATATTGACATAATTTTGAATATAGATTTTTATTATTTAAAATGTAGCTATAAATTTGCATAGAAAATCAAGCGATGAATTATTTAATGCGTCCATACCAATCCAAAAGAACGAGAAATTATATTTGTTAGACATGTTGAATTATTATGATAAAATTTAAAGTAAAACATGACCAGTTAAAAATTAATAAAAAATAAAAAATGATGAATTATCAGCCAACAAAACCTTATTATCTGAACCATGCATCTTTTTTTTAAACTAACATGTACTAGAAGACCTCAACAATTCATTGTAATAATAAATCAGTGAATTTTTATTTTAGTACCCTAATTAAAGTTTTGAAAACTTTTTTATTTTTTTTAATTTTATTTTTTAACATTGAATTTACTAAATATTAAACTTTATAATTTATTTTAACTTGTTTTCTATGAAGTTATTTGAATTTTATAACCTGAGTTGAAGATGTTAACTTGAATCATTTGTTTTTTTAATTTTTTTTATTTTATACTTCAATATTAGGTTAAATGAAAATTTGATTTCATAATAATAACTATTTTTTTATTGCTTTTTATGAAATTATTATGATTTTATAATTTAAATCACAAATTTTAAAGGTTAGTCGGATTGACTCGACTTTTTATTTTTTTAATTATATTTTCAAAATTATATTGATTTAAAATAAAATTTTATAAAAAAAATTTATTTTTCTTTTAATTACTGGTCTCCTCACCTGGATTTAACAAGTTAATTCTTGTTAACTCGAGTTATTATTTTTATCTTTTTTATTTAATTTTTTTAATCTAATCCCTCAATATTAGGTTAATTGGAATTTGAGATTCATAATTATTATTTTATTTTATTTTCGTAAGATTATCATAATCTTGTGACTCAAATCACGAAATAAACTAGTTGATAGAGGTTTTTTTGTCTTGTTTTTAATTAAATTTTTTTAATTTCATCATTAAATATTAAATTAATTAGAAATTAAACTTCATAATTTGTTTTAATTTGTGTTATATGAAGTTATTCTAGTTTTATGACTTGAGTCAAAAGTTTATTTGTTTGGCTAAAATGGTTTTCCATGGCTTTTTTAATTGATTTTGTTTGTTTAATTTAATCCCTTAATATTTGATTGATTATGAATTGAGTTTTATAATTTATTTTAAATTATTTTTTACAGTGTTATCTCAATCTTATAATTTAGGCTTGGTAGAGGTTGACTTGGTTTATTTTTTTAGTTGAATTTTATTTTCAATTTCTTCATTTAATATTAAATTGATTAAGAATTAAGTTTAATAAAAAAAATTAAATATTTTCTACAAGGTAATTGAGGTCTCGTGATCTTGATAACATATTTAATAAGTTAATTCAAATTAATCTAATATGTTATCATTTTAATATTTAAAAAAACATGTTATTTTAATTTGTTTAGTCAAATTGTTTTTTTAGGTTTGAATTATTTTTGAACCTGTAAACTTAATTAGTTACATCAAATAAATTCTATATAATTTAATTTTTTATTAAAAAATCATTAACAACACTCAAATAATTTTTTAATATAAATTTTTTTGACCTGACTGGGAATTAGCAATGACATGGGACATTACTGTTTCTAGGACCCCTATTTAATAAATTGAAGCAAATTAAAAAAAGAAAACAATGAAATATGATCTTTGAGGTGAAATGAAAACTTCATATTCTCTTTTCAGAATTTATTAAAAATGATTGTCACTACACTTTAGCAGCCGCGCTCCTAGACTCCACTGTGGCTACTGTGATCCAATAAAAACAGTGAAATATGATCTTTCAAGTCATCACTGGCTCTCTTTCTTTTCTTTTCTTTTTTTCTTTTTTTTTTTGTTGACGTCAAATTGAAACTTCTGATATTCCCTACTTGGGACATAGAAAAAAAAATGTTTGCATGCGTAGAAAAGTCTCCAGTCTCGTAAATGAATGGAGGAAGGAGCCGCATTATTAGACTCCATTGACAAAAAAATCTCATTTCTCCATACTTGTCAAGATAGTGTTCGTTTTTTCAAATCATAAGATATAATTATTCAACTTTTATTCAAAGGATATAAAAACCCTATGTATATATAGACACACACCCACACAAACTGAATTAAATGCCTACGAACGTATATAAAGCTATCATATTAAAGTTGGGATGCCCCAGTGGTTAATGCCCTTCACAAAGACGAGAGAAAAATGTACGAGCTATTAAGTCTTGCGGTAACTTCTTTCTTTGCGAATATTAATTATCAAAGTTTTAATCAAAACTGCCTGGTAATTAAAGCAGCTGTATGCATGAAGAACTAGTGCTGCATGCCAGCTTCTTTTCCTTTGTTTTTGTTCTTGAACTGGATTGTAGTGGAGAAAAGATGGGATGCTTAAATTCCAATAGTGTAAATCTATTCATAATTTTAATTGTAAAGATAACCTCTGCTGGTGCCTGGTAGGTTCGATTCTTAAGAGAGACGCCTGGATTGCGCCTGTGGAGAATAAAGCTCAGGAAAAGGAACATTACTGCAACTATAAATTTGATAGTAAGCTCACTTATTCTTTTCACTGCCATAAATGATACTCTGACTTTAGGTTTATGGCCTCGGGAAATATAAAACCATTTACCAACTTTGGCCAGGATAAAAAAACAAAACTAATTTATAAAAAAAATCCATGATAGAATTAATAAAATTGTGAAGTATAGTAAAAAATTATTTCATGTAGAAAAAGTGTCGTAGCATGAAAAACAAAACATTATTCATTGTAGCAATATGCTAATGAAATTCCCCATCACAAGAAAATTCATCCATCAGTTTTGATGTTAATGGGTAGGATTATCTTTTTCATAGTCAATATTTTATCATGAAGATGAGTGGACTAGCTCAGTTTTTCAACTTTTTTTTTATTTTTATGGTGAAAAGACATTATTACCTTGAAAAGTACAACTCAATCAACTAGTTTTGAAGAGCTATTTTGGATTTGTATTTTTTAAAGTAGGGTGAAATGATTGAATTATTTTTAAAAATATTTTTTTAACTTGACTTTAAGGGTTTTTTTGTATTTTTCATTTTAATTTTTTAGTTATTATTAGATAAAAAGATGAATAATTTAATATTTAAAAAAATATAAATAAAAAAAATTATTGGAGCCTGCATGTCATATGCCAATTAGTAAATTGTTTCATAAACAGCATGTACACCTATTTATTATAGCCAAAACCAACCTTATGATTTTTTTATTTGTCATGTTTTTACCTCATCCCTAGGTGGGGCATATAGTTTGATTCCTTTGTTAACTTTATCATTCCTTGTTAAATATAATTTTTCTTTTAAAAAATATTTTTGAATTAAATTAAATTAATTAATTTAAATATAAATATAAAATGCATTCTTCATAATATTTTATTTGATTTATTTTATAAGTTATTGCTTTTGTGATGGGTGCGTCCTCTTTCATGTGATAGGATAGTGTTAACAACGAAGTGTTATAATTATGATATTAAAAAAATTGTTTAATATTTAAATTAATCATTGATAACTCATTTTTTTATAATTAATTATTGAAAAAAATTGTTAGATTTATTTGTTACTATAACCTTTTTATCATATTATTAAATTAACAGGGTTTATTAGATCCAATCAAGTTATCAAATTAGATCTCAACTTTTCTTTACTTTTTTAAAAATACTATTATCATTTGAGCATTTGTTTTACATTAATTTTTTTTTTATCCGACTCATGAGTTGTGAGGTAGCACAAGTTGTCTATCTAATTTTAGTCAAATTTTTATTTTTAATTTAATATTTTTTTTATTTTTTATCTTCGATAATTGGTTAATTGGAATTGAATTTTCTAATTCATTTTAATTTATATTTTATAAAGTTATTATATTTTCATGTTTTAAATTACATGTTTTTAATGATAATCATGATTGACTCGAGTTGATGTGAAATATTGTTTTTTTAATATATTTGTTTTAAATTTTTTTTCTAATATATCAACTTTTTAATATTTTAAAGATTTTTCATCTAGCAGACATTACATTTTTTTTCCTTCTCCATGTCTTTACATTTTTTTAGGATTAAAAAATGATCAATATCACAGCTTAGCGCTGATCAAGAATTTAGTATTAATCAATTAGTAGAGCAAGTGATCGTTCAAGAGATCTGTGAGAAGGGAAGCAGTGATTTTCAATAAAAAAGCGATGCTTCAATTCATAGTAATTTATGAGAAAGTGGGCATTTTATGTACGGTCAAAACTCCACAAACTTTGTGCATTTTCATTCTCTTCTGCAGAATATGGACTTCTTGATTAAGGACATGATTTTATTTTTTCTTCTTCTGGGCTCATCTCTCTTCTCATTTGAGTTGGGGTTTCTGTGAGCTTCTGGGTTCTTTTGGCTCAGGCTGGCCCGGAGCTGCTAGATGCTTTGCGGTGGTGTCTTCTAACTGGCTTCGCTGATTTTTCCAACGCTCCCCTTCTCTTTATCTGTCAAAGCTGTCTCCTTTTGTTTCATAGGATAGGATAGCTTCTTTCTAACGTCATGGCTTGCATGGTCGGCGCGGTTTCTTAATCATTCTCTTTCTTCTTTTTCATCTGCGGTTTTAATTGCTTTTGTGAGGAACATAGCTGCAAATCCAATGTTCTTTTTTTTTTTTGGCGCTGATTCACAGGTCCCTTGATTAGTGAATTGTGATGGGTTCCCATGAAATGCGCTTCCAACTCGGCAAGTTGTTCGAGGGAAGTGCTGAATCAAAGCACTGTTTGGCGGAGACTGGTTTTCCGAGGGCTGGCCATTCCGTGTCACGTTAAGGTTTGTAGCGCCTTGTTTTGTAGTGGTAGGCTTTTTTTTTATTTTCTTTTTCGGACATCCTGACATCTCCATGTCACTTCGTTTTATAATATGCTGCCACGTTTTCCATGGTCGTCGTAGCTACTGCCCTGATTACCTTCCTCTCATCATGTCAAAGTTGTTTAATTTTTTTCTTTAAGAGAATGTCAGATGGTTATTTGTTGTTTTTTTATGTCAAAGGACCTGTTTGTGTGCTCTATTATGTCTTTTTTGGGTCTCTGTAGGTGGTTCTTTTCGTTTATGACTCTGTTCTTTGTTTGCTCAAACTCTGTTGTTTAGTGGTTGTGTCTCTCTTTGTTGTTTATTCTTGCTTTTAGTTCTTTGATTTCTTTTTTTACTTACAATATCTGCTCATTGTTCAGTCTTTATCATGTGTCCGCTGTATCCGCTTTGAATTTAGTTTATTTATTTATTTATTTATATATATGTGTGTACACACACCTTTTGAAAGATACTCCCATAAGTCAAACTACAATGGTATATTTACACGTGAATTAAAAAATATAATTAATAGAATTCTGATATTTTTTAAATTGATTTCTTATCATTTCATTATTTCTGGTTAAGCTATTAGCTCACCTGGGATTACTTTTTTCTCTTCCAATCTGTACAATTATGTTTGGTTATTATTCTATGAAAAAAAATATGAGATATTAAAGATAAGAAATAAAAATAAAATTATATTTGGTAATGATTTATAAGACATGATGAATATCTTTGTATCTTTTTTTGTTATGATAAATAAAACAAAATAAAATATCAAAAAATCAATTTTATCTCTAATGCATATTATTATCAAACTTACTTATGTAAAAAATAATAATTAGATATAAATTTTTGTAGTTTAAATTGGATGTTGTAATTTATAATATTATAATAACTATAATTATAAAATCATAATAAATCTAAAAGGTCAACTTAGAGCTTGGACCGGTTCCAGTTAAAAAGAAAGAGAGGAAGAATGGACTCCATATCCAGTAAAAAAATTAGATTAATTTGCAACTCTAGATTAATTTGCAACTCTGTCAACACAAAACAAAACATAAGTCAACATCCCGTTAAGTTTTTTTTTTCAAAACAAGGTTGTTTTATTTAAAAAATAAAATAAAAAACAGCCCTCTCAACCTATGACGCGAGCCTTCTTTATGGTCAGTTTTTTAGTTGGATTTTAAAATTATAATAATACACACTTTTATTTATACATTCACGTAGGTCAACCTGGATTGAGTCTCTTAACCCGTGACCCAAGTATTGTCCCAGGTTAACTCTCGATTCAAGTTTTTAAATTATAATAACAATTATTTTTTATCAATGTATTGACTCGAGACATCTTAGGTTGATCCTCTAAAGTCGAGTTTCAAACTATGATAATAATCATTTTTATCTATACATTAATTTAAAGTCAACCTAAGTTGGCTCTCCAGACTTGTGACGCGAGCCTTATTTTGAGTTGATCATTAAGTTTAGTTTTTAAACTACAATAATAATTATTTTTATCATTATATTAACATGAGCCAACCTAGATAAATCCTTCTCATGACCTAAGTTTTTTTCTAGGTCAATTTCTAAGTTGGATTTTAAATCTATAATAATAATCAATTTTATTTTTATGTTGAGTTGCGATGACCCTGCTAACCCTTGACTCGAGCCTTGTTTTGAATCGATACCAAAATTATGTTTTAAAACTATGATAATAATTACTTTTATTTTTATCTTGACTTAGGTTAACGCGAGTCAACTCTCCCCATTTATGACTTGCCTTTATTCCATATTAACCACTAAGTTAGATTTTAAAACTATGATAATATTTTTTTTCTACATATCTTAATTTGATAGTTTTGAAGTTTGACATGTTAGACATTAGTTTTCTGGGTTTCGTGTTTGGTTTGCCAGGTTCGTCATGGATGGCCTCTCCTATGTTTACAGCTTTGTCGGGTGAGACTATTTTCTATCATTTTGGTAGAAGGCCAACCATTTAGCTCCTTCCCATCTTTTTTTTCTTTTCTTTAGAGATTAGTATGTTTATGCATTATTTTATGTTGTTCTGTGATGTTGTGCCTTTGTGGATGTCCTGGACTTCAGTTTAATGGGCCTTGGTTGTTGCCCTTAAATGCTGAAAAAACTACGTTGTATGATTTTGTGAACATATGTGATTGCTTCTATTTGCGCTTAATGAATGTTTTATGATATAGTTTCTTGACTTTATTATGGTTGTTTAAATGCTAATGAGTTTTAACAGGAAAATTTGGGCATCCTTCAAAGTTGTTGTTTTAGCGTTTTGCAGGCTTCTTAACACCTAGAGCTTCTGTTAGGACGCACTTCAAGTCATGTTTTTTAAAACTTGATTTTTTTAAAATTAATTTTTTATATTTTTAAATTATTTTAATATATTTATAAACAAAAAATATTTTAAACCGCAACTCCTTTAATATTCTTGGGTACACCCTTCCAAAGCTGCATATCTCACTGGGGTTGATACACAAAGTTTAAGAATAATACACTGGTTGCTAATATTTAGAGTTTTGTTTTCCAAATGTAGTTGATTATGAGACTATCGGTTTCCATCTAAACATATACGTGTAATAATTTTTTTTAAATTTTTTTAAATTTTATTTTTATTTTTGCTTCAAATTATTTATTTTGGTATTTTGAAATTATTTTACCGTGTTGATAATAAAAATAATTTTTTTAAAAAATATTTTTTTAATATATTTTTAAATAAAAAATATTTTGAATTCAAAATAAATAGCAAAAATCAATACAACATTTTTGCACCATGTCAAAAAAGAAAAAAAAGACCAAGATTTTAAGAAAAATACGAGACTGCCATTTCTACAGTTAATGTTTATCATGTTTTATTTTCTTTGCTAATGAATGTTACATGAAAACAAGCTTGCTTGGGAATGTGTTCTACCTATCTTTAAAAATATTTTTTATTTAAAGATATATTAAAATAATATATTTTTATTTTTAAAAAAATATTTTTAATATCAGCGTATAATATAATTTTAAAATAATAATAAAATATTAATTTAAAGTATTAAAAAAATAAATTTAAAATATTTTCACAGTGAAAAGATAAACAGCCCATAATAAGTTATGAGCAAAAGGAGAGACGCCAAACGACGTGATAACTATTAATTTATGTATTCCTTGGTGACTCCGTCAGAAATTGTTCCTCGTACGCAATTCATCCCATGCAACATATTTTCTATTTTCCCTCATCGTAAAACATACGTTCCATCACACAGGACACAAGCAGCTAGGCTGTTCAGTATCAGAAGAATATTTTTATTTTCTTTTCAGTTGTTAATTCCTTTTCTTAAAAAAAAAAAAAACTTGTTTATCTTGAAAACTTCTTTCCAGCTCGAAAACTAGAAAATATAATCATGTTATATTATTTTCTATTTAGATAAAAAAAATTGACAAAATTGAAATCATGTTCAAATTAACTTGTTTCCAAGATATTGTTTGCATTTGGACATCGATAGATATCCTTTTCTCATCTCAAGAGTATTGTTCATTTTTTATTTATTTATCATTGTTTTGAGAGAATAATTTTTAACATAATTATATAAAATAAAACGCAAGAGTAAGCACAACGCAAGATTAGTATTCTTTTATATTAATTAAGACATAGATAATAAAATTCTTTATGAATATATATTAGAATAATTATTACAATTAAACATGTCATAGTTGATATGCAGTATCTTTTTTCAATATCTTCTCATGATAATAATCTTAAAAAATCCATACCTTATACCGCCGATGTGATATAGTTTTGTAAGATTACGTACCATTGCTACTTCTCGTTGCAAATTAAGTCTCATAAAAGAAAGTGTTGTGTTACATATATGAAAATAGATGGTATATAGGAAAATAGATGATATATAGATTTGTGACAATTCGGGAAAAAAATGAGGAAAAATAAGAGAATCTTGAAGAACTGAATTCTTTTTTTAATTATTTAAATAATTAGAGATGATATCACTTTTTTTGCTGAATCCTAATGTTGTTGTTGTTGTTGTTACAGGTATTGTTATTATTATTTATTTTGTTTTTCACTTAATATTTCATGTAAATGATAGTATCCTACAGAACATATATAAGAACCGAAGAGGTTAAGAAATAAAAAATTAGGAAGGGGTTTAGCATTGGATCCAAGTGATGTTTACTGCTAGTTAGCAGCATTTTGGTAACGATAGGAACAAATTTTAGAAATTACAAAATATATATATTAAAATAACTTGTTAAAATATTATAGTAATTTATAATAAAAAATATTTTTTTATTATTTTTATCCTTGTATTTTTGTTTTCAATTTCAGTTTCTATGCTTGATTTTATGACCCATTTGTTAAATTTTATTCGGGAAAAAAAATCAAATATAAAGGATCAAAGTGTAAAATAAATAAAAAACCATATTCAATCTAAAATTTGGTGGAAAGGTTCCTTTACATCCCCATGCGTTTCTTTTTCTTCCTTCACATTCCATATAGTTTTTGTAATTTCAATTTTAGTAAAAAAAATATTTTTTTAATATTTTAATTATTTAGTTAGAGAGAGGAAAGAAAAAATCATCTAAAATTAATGAGATGAGAGAAAGTGTTTAGTTTGATCATTTTTTAGTGATAAACTTGTTATTCTTGATGTTAACAAGTTTTATTTAACGATGGTAAATATTTTTCCATAAACATGCTTGAAAAGATAGATCTATTTCATTTTAAATTTCTCTATTTAATTGATTTTCAGTTTTTTGGGTAATTTTTGGATACCTTAAGATTAGTTGGTGATTTAGAGAGATTTTTATGGTATTTATAATGTATTTTGAATGAAAATAAAATATATTTTAAATAAAAAAAACACACCTCCAAAATTTCTACCCACCGCTGTGGTGGTTAGATTATAAAATGGCCCATTGACATGAGTTTGTCTCGAGCCTACACACCTAATATAACCTTTTGTTTTTTTTTTAATTTTATTATTTAATAATAAATTTTTGTTGAATTTTTTTTGTCAAATCATGATTTTACTAATCATCTAAGTTACATTGAGACTAGCATGTTT